CGCGCTGGGCGCACCTGGCGCACCTTGCGCGCTTCGATCACCTCGCGCGCACCTTGTGCACCTGGGGCGCTTGGCGCACCTGGCCCACCTGGCACACCTGGCGCACCTGGCGCGCACCTGGACCTGGCGCACCTGGCACGCTGGGCGAACCTGACACACCTGTCGCACCTGTCGCACCTGGCGCACCTGGCGCGCCTGGCGCGCATGGCGCAACTTGCGCGCCTGGCGCAACTGGCGCACCTGGCGCACCTGGCGCGCCTGGCGCGCACCTGGCGCACACCTGGCGCACCTGGCGCACACCTGGCGCACACCTGGCGCACCTGGCTCACTTGGCGCGCCTGGCGCACCTGGCGCACCTGGCGCGCCTGGCGCGCCTGGCGCACCTGGCGCACCTGGCGCACCTGGCGCGCCTGGCGCACCTGGCGTACCTGGCGCATCTGGCGCACCTGGCGCACCTGGCGCGCTGGGCGCACCTGGCGCACCTGGCACACCAGGCGCACACCTGGCGCACACCTGGCGCACACTTGGCGCACCTCACGCGCCTTGCGCATCTGGCGCACCTGGCGCGCCTGGCGCGCCTGGCGCACCTGGCGCACCTGGCGCACCTGGCGCACCTGGCGCACCCGGCGCGCCTGGCGCGCTTGGCTCACCTGGCGCGCATGGGCTTCTGGGAGGCTCAGCGGAGGTACGTCCTACGCAGATCACCACTATACCATGGCGCCGAAATGTCCTTCGGTATTGAGTGGTCCTGAATGCAATTGTCACTTGTGTAGAAAGGGTTGGGTACGTCGCAGGATAATACACTGAACGCGGTTTGGGTCGCATGTTCTCCACCTGGAACGAATGCAAAATCAGCCCGCCGCAAGCGCCGAATTTTTGGCTTGTTCAGTGAAGATGTTTGGGTCGCGGGTGGGTCGTGGGCTCTCCACCCCCACCTGGAAGGAATTAAAAAAGAGCTCGCCGCAGGCGCCGAAAATTTTGATTTGTACACTGAACAAGGTTTGGGTCGCAGGCTCTCCACCTGGAATGAATGCAAAAACAACCCGCCGCAGGCGCCGAAGTTTTGGCTTGTTCAGTGAGCGTACTTTGGATCGCGGGTGGGTCGCGGGCTCTCCACCTCCACCTGGAAAGAATTCAAAAACAGCCCGCCGCAGGCGCCGAAAATTTTGATTCACTGAACGCGGTTTGGGTCGCGGGTGGGTTGCAGGTTCTCCACCTGGAACGAAATCAAAAGAAACCCGCCGCAAGCGCCGAAACTTTTGGGTGGGTCGCGGGGTGGGTCGCGGGGTGGGTCGCGGGTGGGTCGCGGGTGGGTCGCGGGTGGGTCGCGGGTGGGCCGCGGGGTGGGTCGCGGGTGGGTCGCGGGGTGGGTCGCGGGTGGGTCGCGGGGTGGGTCGCGGGTGGGTCGCGGGGCGGGTCGCGGGGTGGGTCGCGGGTGGGACGACGACAACAACAAACAACAAACAACAAACATCAAACAACAACAAGAATCCGCATCGCGGAATTCCACTTCAGCCGCGCACCCAGGGACAGTGAATGACCGTTCGGTTCAGCCCCCTCACTCTGACCGTACCAGGGACGCGCCGTCTCCGTGACATCTTTCTGAAAGCCCTATGGGGTTGGGCCAGTTGGTGCTGGGGTCGGTGCTGGGGTCTTGGGACACGTCCCCCGGCAGGGCCTTGCACTGAACTCTGGGGCCGGGGTCGGAGCAGTACCAGAAGTCGGAGATCGAGTCGACGCTGGAGTTGGTGCTGGAGTCTGGGGCGGGGTCGGAACCAGAGCAGGCGTCGGAAGAGACGTCGGCAATGGCCTCTGGAGCGAAAACCACGTTGTTGCGGGGTCGAGAACATGGTGCAGCGCTGATGGGCTCGCTTGCGGTGGTTGTGGTAGTGGTGCGGGTGTGGGGGGTGGTGGCAATGTGGCTGGTATCCGCGTGCTCTCCGTGGCATCCGCAGTGCTGTCGATGGTCGCCGTAGTGGTGCGAGTGATTCTCGTCGTGGGGAAGCTTTTGCTGTCCGTCGTGCTGCTCGTGGCACCCGTCATGCAGAGTGGAGCTGGAGTTTGAGCCTGTGTCGGAGTTGGCGCGGTCTCGAAGCAAGAGTGTCCTCGGATCTGCTGGTATGTCTGATGCTGGAGCCTGTGCACAGGTCCGAACCAGGGCTGGCATCGTCATTCAGCTCGAAGCTGCATGCGACTATGGCCCTGGGTTTTGTTAACAGAGGGGTCACTCCTGGCCCTCCGGGGGAGATCAAAAGTTCAGCGTATCGATGTTGGAGTCGGTGCTGGCGTCGGAGCGTCGGGAGGCCGCGATGGGGCGGCCGGGCGGGTCCGACATTGGAGTCGAAGCTGTGTACGACTACGGCCCCAGATTTTGTTAACAGTGCCCGCCCCCCCCCCCCGTGGCCAAACGGGGGAAGTCAAAAGTCCCGTCTGTCAGGAAGTAGTCCGCGCTCTCGTGTGTCACGGAGTACCTTCTGCATCGATGTTGGAGACGGTGCTGGCGTCGGTGCGTCGGTTGTGGTTCGAGTTGTGGTTCAGTTTGTTGGTCGGTTGTGCTGGTCGGTGGGTTGTCGCGGGTCGCGGTGGCGTTGTGTTGTTGCTGGTCGGTTCTGGTTCGAGTTTGTTGCGTCGGTGGGTTGCCGAGGGTACTTAGGCTGTTGTTCGAGGATGTTGTTTCTGTCGATTACTGCGGCTGGCATTGCACGCCTGTCCCAACAGCAGGGTGCCGAAACATACCATGCAACGCGATACAGAACCCGGATACCACCACAGACGCTCCGTGAGCTCTGGAGCGTTGAACTGGTCAAGGATGTAGGTCGATGGGTGGCGGCGGAAGGGGGATGACCAGCGCGTCCAAAATGCACGGATGGACCGGCACGTCCAAAAGTGCGGCATGGCTGTGGCGTCGGGGCTGGCGTCTGTGCTGACAACGGCACTGATGCACGCGCTGGCGTTGGTGCTGGCAAAGGCGCTGGCGTCCGCGCTGTCATCGGTGCTGGCGACGGGGCTGGCGCAGGCGTCCGCGCTGTTCGCAGTGCTGGCGCCAGTGCTGGTGCCAGCGTCCTCGCAGACGTCCGTGCTGTCACCGGCCCTGGCGTCGTCACTGGCGTCATGTTAGCGCCGGTGCTGGCGTCAGCTTTGGTGAGCCACCGCCAGGAAGACGTAGGAGGAGGGGCCGTTTGAAGAGGAGGATCTTGTAGCAGAGGCGGCCGTCGGAGGCGACGATGGCATAGCACGCCGACCCACCAGCAGCGTGCAGAAATACACCAGGCAACGCGATACAAAACCCGGATACCGCCACACACGTTTTGTGAGCCCTGGAGCGTTGAACTGGTGAAGGCCGTAATTAGGTCGTTGGGTGGCGGTGGGGGGGAGGGCCTCGGGCATCGGAGGCTGGGCGTCGGAGCGTGGAGTCGGAGGCGTCGGGCGTCGGAGGCGTCGGAGCGGGGGGGGCGGCCTCGGGCACTGGAGGCGTCGGAGCGTGAAGTCGTGGCCGACAGATGGAGGTGGGGTGGGAGACAGGAGGGCAGTGGGGAAATGACGTGGAAACGGGAGAGGAATCACGGCACCCGGGGAAGCGGATGGGAAAGCTCGGAATCCAGGGCCGTGCAAGGACGTGGGTGGAAGGACTGTGGCCTCGAACACCCTCGCGTACCCATTGTGCCATTGCGTCGTAAAGGGCTGCCGTCGGCGGCGGGGTCTGGGCGCGTCGTTGGTAGTTGGTGCACCTGTACGTCGCCCAGCGTTTCGGGAGGACGTTTCTGAATCACGTGCTCGACCGTAATGCAATACGCAGCCCGTGCCTTACCTGCCACTTAGGCACCAACGCATAGGGCACCCATCGAGGCAACGCATATAGCACCGAGGCATCGGGCACCAACCCGTCGGGCAGCAGCGCGAGAACGGCCGACTGCGGAAAACAAGATTCCGTATGGCACCAACCATATTTTCCTCCCCAATAGTGACACATAGTGACCGTCAGACGTAGGACAGCATTTCGGATGTTGAGCTGCTTGAGTCCACGAGCCCCCGTGCGCGGAATCTTAGGCAGGCCATGAGACGACGACGAGGGAAGGCAGCCAAAATGAGACGAGCCAGCCACGGGAGTGAGACTAGCCCGAATAGGACACCAAGGGCAATAGCGCGCGAACGGCCGAATATGACGAGCAGCACACCGTAGAGGACCAGACATAGGGCACCAGCCTGCGGCAAACAGGGCCGGCCAATCACAGAACAAGCACAGAACCACCAAGAGCAGGCATTGTTTGGGGACTGCTCTGTCCCTAGCCTCTGGCCGAAAAACGTCGCATCGCTGGCATGGTGGGGGGTATGCTGAGCCTGATTGGACATCCATTTCCGCGTGGCCGGTGGGCGCTCAGAGCTCCAGGTGGCCCTGCCCAGCGCTCGCCGCGGTCCGGGGAGAAGCGGCCAGACCTTCGACGACAGTTTTGACATGCAGCTCCCCAGTGCCATCGGTATGAAATCTCTGGAAGCCGAGGACATACTTCGACAACACTGACAATTGTTTGCATCGGTGCGGCCTTCACGGGAAAAGTATACTGAGAGGTCTCAGAAAGGCATCTGAAGACAAACTGATGTCTGAGTTGGGGCACTGGCCGTCCTCTGGCAGTAGTCGTTTCGATAGCAAAGACAGCCCGAGAGATCACGAGAACCGTAACCGAGGGCTCGGAGAATGCCATGGCTCTGGGTGGGCACGATCCTCCCCGGCGCTCCGTCGCCCACGCCGTGCACCGCAAGATGGACAGAGCTCGGAACACGGAACCAACGCAACATTTTCTAGGGTGAGGGGGCGAGGTAAAGCGATGGACTTGCCATCGCTCGGACGTCCATTTCCTGTGCATTTTTCGGTTTCGTGCGTGTCTTTTTTGCTCGGTGGTCCAGGATGGTCCTCGATGGTTCTCGCCGAGAAAAAATGCACACGTCCGAGCGATGCCAGGTGGAAGACCTGCACAGGGGTAGAAGCGCACGAGCAAACGATCCTGAGACAGCTGCTCCGCCGCCACGTTCATCGACAACTCGCCGCTCGGCACCCTGCAGCAAACGCACGTCCACCTGAGAGAGGCAGTGGAGAGGCACAAGGGAAGCCACTTGCGATACCAGAAGGGCCCCTGCTGTGGCCAGGAGGAGCGCGATGAACTTCTGACGCTGCGCGATACGTCAGCCGCACGCCACCAGCACGGAGCAAGGCTGAGCCAACGCCCACCAACCACTGACACGCACCAATCCGAAGAACTCGTGCGCCTCCACGAGGCCATGCGCCCCGACATCCCAGACTCTCCTCATGCAGCCGCAACAAGCTATGCTTCAGGTGTGCATGGGTGCGTTTCTTGCGAACCTCACACTGCTCCAGACCACTCGCTACAACAAGCTCGTGATATGATGCGCTGCTTGTGCCTGGCAACTGGGGAACTCACGCGCGCTGACTGTCTAGAACAATTGTCCTACGAATCCAGGGTCGGGCCGGGATCGGAGCGCCAGCAGGACATCATGTTCAAGACATATCTCACGTTCGTGCACACATTCACGTGGCGAGCCTTGAAACGCGCATTACCCCCATGCTGAACACGCACTGCAACCACGCGACCGAATCGATCGATTGTGGGTCAAGCCGAATCGACCATGTGGCGAGCGCGGGGTGTCACCCCCAGCTCACAGCGGGGGCGCATCGTCAACTCTCAAGCGTGTCCACTGCCGTTCGTGTCCGTGTGACAGTGGAGCCCCGTCAGCCGATACAGCGAAATGAAAAAGCAACCCCCGGCTGACAATGGTAAGCATCGCCGCACTTTTGACAGAGGGAGCGTCGTGTCGCTGAAAGAATCCCGGTTGACAATGGTAAGCATCGCCGCACTTTTGACAGTGAGAGCGTCGTGTCGCTGAAAGAAGCTTTTCGATTCCAATGTTCCTCAATGTGGCAATGCTGTCGATACACCCGCCGCAATCATAAACAGATAGAGCCAATGAAGTGGGGGTTAGCGTATTTGACCTGCTTTTTCTCTTGGGATAGCCAGCGGTCGATCCGATCCGCTGTGCAAAGACACTGCAGCGTCAGGCCAGCGAGGACCACTAAGCGGCCGCGGCGCGCCGCGTGGGCGCCCTGCGAAAGCATCGGATGGAAAACGGAGGATGAGAGAACCATATTGACTATGACTAGGCATAAACAAGATCAAGTTGCCTCGGACTGTACACAACTGCGAACACCCTAGTGTTGCGTAGCCGTCAACATGTGATGAAGCTCTTCTTTCGTGCCCGGACTGCGGGTAACAACGATGCGGCCAACTCAAATCGTCATCACCCTGGTCTATGGCGATGGTGGGTGCCGCGCCCTTCAAACTCAACTCGCAAACATGTTCCTTGAAATGATTGTATCCCAGATTCCGGTATCATACCGTTTGCAACCGCTGTGTAGAAACTTTGGTGAAAGCACACGAACGTATTGAAGTGAGGGCAAGTCATATCTCCGCAGCTGTGAAGCCTTTGGTGCGGATGCATAAGAGATGCCTTCAGCTTTCAGTTTCCTCCCAACGCTACAGGAAATTGCACACCACATCCCCAGAGCAGGTGCGCCGGCGCCAAGCGGCCGTGCTTGGATGCGCCTTGGACCATCTTGGACCTGCCTGCTCCTGGGAACGATCCAGCGCGTCCAGGGTGATCCCCCCCCCTCTGGCTGCCGAGCTGCAGAGGCACCGCGACACACCGCAACCACCCAGCAGCTGGACACCACTGGTCGACGCGACGACGACTCCTGGACCTGCCTGCCACCCCGTCGCGGGCGATGCTGGCGCCGACGACGCTCGCGATTCCGATTGTATCACCAGGTCGACGCTCGAGAAAAAGTATTCACCAGAATTCCCACGGCGGCGACGACAAAAACAAAAAACACTATGCAGGGGGGGGTCCCAAATCTGGCGGCCAATGCCCCAGACCCTAAGTAAGTGTTACAAAAAATTGGCGGCGGCCGCGCGCAAAAGCCAAACCGACAATATCAAGACGAGGGCGGCGGACTCTGCGCACACTATATGTACTACGTGACACGAGCATGGAAAGATATCGGTGTAAATGATGTACGTAGGCGTGCTTAACTCGCGCGCATGCGTGCGTACATTCTTACCACATATATTTTGATTTGAAGATCGTCGGGCCGCGAAATACGAGCCGGAATCCGACGCCGCAACCAATCCAAAAATACTTCCGTTCTCTTATCCGAAAGCGCCCGCAATCGCTGCCCAAATCAAGCGAAACCTTCAACCCACGAGCGCGCACCGAAAACAGAAGTAACAAAATATGTCCAATAAATGTATTTAAACATCACGCTTCGCCGTCGCTCACCCCCCCTAGGCCGGAACTCTCCACGCCACGTCGACGAATTACACAACGTAGTTCTTCTGGACCCCCCCCCCCAGGCCCGAAACACCCACACAAAAGGAACAACCGCGCAACCGCGACGAATTGCACAACATAATTCTGTTTCGAAGGGAGCAAACGCGCAACCGCGACGAGGCCTCTGGCCCACGGCCCAGGCGCGGTAGCGGGGTGGGCTGAAGGCAGTTTTACAAACAGCCGATGCAAATTCGCGGCAGCGGCGGCGGTCCCGAACATTAGGTGCACTTTGCAAAAGACGGATTCGGCGACGGCGGCCCGCCCAGAGACTGGGTGGCGTGGAGGCTGAGTAGACCAGGTGATCCGATTGTCACAGCGCTGTGCGCCTTCGTGACTCGGATGGCCTCCAGCGTGCGGGCGAACTCTCCGCCCTGAGACATCGCAATGGCCACGTCGTCGGACAATATGAACGGCCACCGGTGGCGGAATTCGCTCGCGTACTCCTTCTATCACACTGGAAGCAATACAACATACTCCATTTCAGGAAAAAACGGGCGGCGGAGAAAAAACCTGAAACAGTAACTGACGTATCGAAAGAAACGGCGGCAAGGCGAACCAACGAATTCGAATATGTTGGAACTCCCCGCACAAATTTGGCGGCGAATCGTCTTGTGACCAGTGCGGAATTATTCAGGCGGGCTGCGTTTTGCAATCCGTTGAAAAAACTACAACGAACATAACAACACAGAATATCTCAGGCGGGCGTGGGACTCTCCCGAGAAATATTTGCAATTCTATTTAAAAGGCGCACCGCGTGACGCGGAAGTGCGATATTTTTCAATTCCCAACCAAACGAAACATTTCAACCCGCCCGCGGGCGCAACCGTAATCGCAACTAGGCAACAACAAAATGGCGGCGGGCTCGCCGGCCAAAATCAGTTCAAAATGGCGGCGGCGGGGGGGGGCGCCCCCCAGTCAGTACTGCAGTGAGCACCGAAGAAACCGTAGTGATCTCCTTCTCTGCCAAGCTCTTCGTCGTAAACTCGCCCATGAGACCTGCGTGGCAGGAGCTGCCACAGGCACAAACGATGTTCCTCTCAGGATCAGCCATGCTCTCGAAGGCGACTTTCCCGCTGCACTCTTCCAGGGGCTCGCCCAGGCTGCCCAGCTTATTCTTCCACATCGACCCTTCGTGCCAATCTCCTATAGGTGCGCCCCCGCACCGTTGGCCGAGCGACCTGAGCTGGTTCATGTTCCTCGAGTGTGAAGTGCGGGTATCCTCCTTTCCCCAGCTGCTCCAACTACAAATGTCGCCTGAAGATGGGAGGATTGTCCTAAGCATCGCCCGATGTGCTGTTCGTAATGGTATCCAGAATATTGTGCCCAACGTCTCTGAATCTCAAGCAATTGGCCCTGTCCGATGCACAAGACGCCCTTCGTGTACTCGATGATGATTGACGCATCGCTCGCAAAACAAATGCTCGTCCTGATTACCAAACGCCGCGAACTAACAACGATGCCTTCCGCACGCCGGTAAGCAGATCTAGTCGATGACGCCAGCGTGTGCAACGTCGACGATATTGTCTGGAGCTGTGTGCCGATGGAAATCGACTTCGCAAGAGTGAACGGGCCATTCCACTGGTGCCCTCCAGCTCGCCACTGCTGCATGCCCCTTCAAACTGACCTCGTTTTTTCCGTTCTCGACCGTGACGGGTCTCCATGAACTGGTACGCTTGCAAACCCATGTCCACGGTATTCGAATCGCTTCATAGCGCTGGAGAGATTTCAGTCCTGAATTGTACCGATGTGCGCGAAGGTATCGACGGTTGTCTCAGATAGTCGGGCGGAGGCCTGTGGCTTGCAGCCCAGCGTCTTGAGCCCAAATAGCTACGGATTGGCTCTTCAATTCACTATTTTGGGAAACCTGAAGTAGTTCCTATGCCGTGGTGGTAACTCCGACGGGGAGATTCTTGACCAATTGCGCATGCATCAAGCACTGATGACTTCAATGAAGAAATCGGCAACCACACCATGGGCACAACAATTACTCAACTCCCCCAATCAGTGCCAGATGCAACCGCGGAGATCTTGAGTCCACAAGGGGCCCTCCCAAGGGCAGACATTCCATGATGCTGTCTTCATGCATGACACTCCAAGACGCTGGCTGCCGATCGCTCCCACCCCCCTCCAAGGAAGAACAACAAGCCACTTGTCCGGGTCCATGTCCTTGGCGACGGCCCGCTGTCCAATCAGAACGCGCCCCGTCTTCGGGCACAATGCCCATACGTTGACGGCGCGGTACCGGAAGCCCTGGGGATGCATTTTGCCGCCACGTAACCCGAGCCAAATGAACGATCCAAGGATCAGAAACTGAGGGCGTGCAACAAAGAAACGTTGAGGTCCCCGGGTGGTGCTACAGCTTGGAGCTCCGAGGGGCAAGCACTGACTGAGTGCATTTTGAGATTTCCAGCGCTGGCCGTATGTGGAGGCTGCCATGCTTCGCCCCACAATGCGACAAGCAGGCCCACCAAATTAAAGACAATCAAGCCGGACGATCAGAGCACGTCGATGTAGTTCTTTGTCAGTATCGGGCTGACGCCTCGTCCCTGGCGGGACCTGCCTGAGCCAACCTAACTATTGGCGAAGTGCATGTAATAGGGTGTGAGGGCATTGCCCCAACACGCGTGCAAGAAGTCAGAACAGACAAAAAAAACAGGCCCTGGCCCACCCTACTTTAGCTTAGATTTCCAGCTCCTCACACATTGAAGGCGGATGTCCATGGCCCATGGTTACCCGTCGGTCGGAAGAAGTGGGTAGAAACATGACGTAGGAAGGCGCTGAAAATAGATTGGGCTTCCGCCCGCCCCCTGAAAAAGGAGAAAAGAAGGACACCGCTCGACTCTTGAAGTAGGGAAGCACCCAAAGTAGATTGGGATCTGGGCATCCCACAGATACCTACTTTCAACGACCGGCGTTTAAGGGCTAGGAAGGGCCGGGAGGCAAGGGTCCCAGGGAGCTCGTAGAAAGTGTCTCAACCTTCTGGTGCGGTTTGCCTGTGTTCCCCACCTGCCTTCGGCCGCCCTCCCTGTCTCCCTCCTTTTCCGTGCACTGTGCCACAATTCGCTTCAACGGTATCCCCGATCTGATTGCTCTTCCGCCAGCGCAGCTACTCTGCCTAGCCGACGACGTATAAACGTGTTCCCCACCTGCATCCGCCCCAGGATCTATCCCGACTGGCGTCACGACCGAAATCCAACAAAAGTGGGTGCGTCCCCAGCAGCCTGCCAAGGCATGATCGCGCAGAATCAAGTCGCCAGGTAGACAAAGCGGGGTGCAGATGGTCGAATTATGCGTCTCTGGAGCAGCACCGCGGGCAAACCATTGCATCTGTTGTTCGATAGCTTTGCGCCCAGCGAGCACTGTGCTAGCCCATGTCACCCTTACATGTGGATCCAAATCGAAACAACGATACTCAACTCCCTGGGAGATGGAAGCCGAAGAGGGCGGAAATGCTGAAGAACTCCAGGAACCAATGACTAGGGCCAACGTGAAGGGCATCGGTTAGGCTTTGCAGGTAAGCAAGACGACGTCACGCCCATCCTAACTCTACGAACGATCTGCCTAAGACACCCTGGGTGAAATTCCTCTGGCATCCGCGGTCGACATCCCCTCCCAGACGAGCAACCCTATGATGACTTGAAAACGGCACTTGTGTTGTTAGCGAGTCCAAGTGGTTATAACAAAGACGCTGCGTCCGTGCTCTCCTCCCTTCAATTCAATGTTTGTCTGTCTGCTCTCTCCGCAAGTCTCCTCAGGTCCTTATCGCACTCCCTCATCTTCCAGGTTGGAGACTGAATCAGCGTCCTTGCTGAGAACTTCGCATCGTGGCCGCCTGGCAAGGGGAACATACAATCATGTTTCTGCAAGGCCAGCAAGTAACTTCCCCTCTCGTGACAGGGCGGGCACTCGACATTACGTTCGGTGATCTTTACACCATCCTGGCGCAACACCAGCTGCAGACATTGGAAAGCCGAATATTTCTCAGTCCGCGCTACCAGTGAAAGGGTCATCGCGAAATTTGTCAGGATTTGGCGAAATAGTCGGGCTGGTTTCGGTGGGCGGCTGGTTTCCTGGGTGCCTGAGTTCCCGTGTCTGGGACGTGGTGAACAAATCCTGCCAACTTTCATGGGTCGCCCAGTTGCCGGTTTCTCAAAGTACAGAATAGAAAGAGAGAGCATACAGCCGGGACAAAGGTTCCTGAACTTTGTCATGATGGCGATATCTCCTATCCTCCTGAGAATTCCGAACATGACATGACGACTGCGTCATTCGGCGGAGTTTTGTTTCCGACCCGCTTCATACTCACAACTCTGTCACCCCCAAACCTGATTGGAAACGACTCCGCT